TCGCCGTACCTGAGCGCGCGAAATCTCAGGCCTGTCATTTGTGAAATGTAATCGCTTATTATTTAAAAACTATTATAGCCTCGACATTTTTGTATTAGAATTTTTGTCTTGAAAGTTTCTTAAGAATTTATGATTAAAAGGATATCCGGTGGTTTTAGTACACCCTGTATATAATTATGTAAGTGTACATTGTTTCTGTTGCAGAAGTGCAAATATTATCACGTGTAACTATTTCATTACTAGTGGTAATTAGGTGCGTGGAAAGCCAACATCTAACCGATATTCGTTGTCAGAATAAAAAAGATTCGCGCACAATCGAATTTCATAATCACGACCGATCGGGGGACCTCGAAGTCGTTTTACAAAACCGATCTGCGAAAGTTTATTAATATATGAGACCACGCGCTGCGTATGATATTGAGAATTTATTGCAAAATAAAAACTCCTTCAATACTCTATGAATCATCGTGCAAGCTTCCGCGCTACATCCTGCGAAATTCCACGCTGTATCGCTGTATCGCGCTAAAATCAGTAGCGTAAAATTGGATGATTAAAGAAGCAGCGAATAAGAACGAGTATCTCGTGATAGCTATCTTTTCTTCCTACGTGTTTTGTGTCAAAGAGCGACACGCGTCAATGATGATTTATCCAAATTTGTCTAGTTACAAATTGTATCGCTGCACCGTTGACTTCGTTATTCTCGATTGTATTCGATCGTAAATTTCTTCAAATTTTGGCAAAACAATTTGCATTTCTGTAGCTGCTACGCGAACTCCGCGATAGTCACTGCTAATTACGCTGTTTCACGATGAATTCGACATTGACATAGAAAACAAGACACTTAAGAGGGAGGATGCACTTAAAAATAATTAAAATCTATCGGGTGTTCCGTTCTTATCCTGATTTACCCGGCTTTATATAAAAGCTGTACGAGCAATTGAAGAAAATAGAGCTGATTTTTTTCGAATCAAATAAAAATTTAAAAAGAGTTCATTTATAAAAAGCATCGGCCGGAATTTAATCAAATAAATAAAACGAGATGACTCGAATATTGTCTCAATAATAAAAGGGACATAAAAATAGTTTTGCTTTATCATTTCCAAGCTACTCCTCCTTAAAAAGTAGACGTTTCGAAAACGTCTATTTTTACAGTCATTCGGCTTCTCGCCATTACATTCGGCATTTCTACGGTTACGTGTAGCAAACGATTAAAAAGAAAAGAAAGAGTGGGCTACGTGATTTTCACCGGACGTATATAGCATCTTCCTTCGCTCGGAGTGAAAAAAATGGCCCCGTTTCCGCTTCGCGGAGTATAGGTGCGATTAATATGCAATTATTCGGGTCAACAATGGGATCCCCGGCCACGTCTATTACTCGATACCTAACTCTCTCCTTCGGTTAAGATTGAAGGCTGCCCGGTACGCCGGTATAAAGAGGGGAATCTATTTTATCAAGAAGCGAAGCGCGAGATATAATGATACAACGCGGAAAGTACACGGTAACGTTTAGTGGCCACTGTCACTGACGTGATATCGGCGGACAGTGGCAATTTGGCCAGTAGTTAATTTCGAGCGGCTACGTTCCGCCAGAGTAAGCCATGCGTACTCTTCGATAATCACCGGACGCGTCGGGAGAGACCAGATTCCTCTTTTTACCTCGCCGCACGTTCGGCGATTATCTGTGAAAACTGTAACGCAACTATATTACATAAATGATAATAACTGTATAAAATGACATGTATAATAATTCACGTTTGTCGAAAGCTGGATTTGGTGCTCTAATACGGGAGCCTCTAATGAAAACGGATTAGATAGAAAAGGAATAGATCGGCGAGGAAAATAGTGAAAAGAAAGCTAATTATAATATATGACAGAAAGCGGTAAGTGTCATCCTGTTTCCTACAGTGCTAAATTATACGGCCAAGTGTCTCCAGGTATCATTGATAGCAAAATGTTACGTTCCGTCTAATGGCATACGCGGCTCCCTGATCAATGTCTTCCTTCTGAAGGAAGCGCCTTCACTTTGAATTTGTCACTTTTTTCTTGATCTTACTGCTCCTAGAGCGAACTCGTAACGGCAACCGAACGAATTAAACATGACGAATAATCGATCGCGAAACGGTTTACTAAACTGTTTATCAGTTCGTCAACAGGCGTCCTTATCAGAAACAAATTCGCGATCTGTTCGCGAATTGTCTGTCAATTCCAGTAAGACGTGCTTTTTAGAACCCCAGCGGGAAATGATTCGTTAGTCGACGTCGAATTTGACAGTGTCGATGACGATTCGACATCGTTTTGACGAACCGTTTCTCACTGGGAACATTACTTCTGCCAACTGTCGCACTTATACTTGCTTTTTAAAGATACCTATTAAATTAAGTAATAAAGCTACTTTTATATCATAAGCTCACATATACACGCGTTTCGTGAAACCGAACATTTGTAGGTAATGCTCGTCCTCGTCTCACGTATTCAAGAGAAATAATACATTATCATGTAGCACTCACAGTGACACATACCGGTGCTTTGTTTCAAGGAAATAACGGTCCGCACGCGCAGCGTACAATGCGTAATACGAGCGATGAAAAATTAGCATACACTAGCGGTGTATATTACATATACCGTATCGAATTTAACTCTGGCTATCTTACTTTCATCTGTATTATGCACACATATCACCGGGAAAATAGTCCAAATAGCTGTAGAGAAATGTCTATAATTCACAAATGACTCGGAAGCATATTTAGATGGCTGCGTTTATTTTAATTAATACGCCGACGTGAATTGATACTGCATTAAGCGTGATCTAATTGCAAACGAAACGAACAAGAACTCCGGTTATGCACCGATGGAAGAAAACGGTATTTAGAAACAATGCGGAACGCAGCATTCGGATATTATTATGATAATCATACTTTATCATATTGCGGTGAAACTTACGAGTCGATGAAATTCCTTCAATGGCGATAACGATTGTCCGCAATGGACGATTTAGCACACTTTAATTGGCAATGGCAGAATTAACAGTTACAGAATTAATAGACCGTTAGACAAACTTTTCTAATATCGATGTGGTACATCGCGGTTATTCTTAAGAAGCATTTCTTTTTAGGCTATTCCAGAAATGTGTTACATTTCATTTTCTTCAAAATTAATTGCAAAAATTCTTTTTCAAGCATCAACGTTTAATATATTTTCTCTTAAAACAAGTGGAACTTGTAAATCGATTGGCTTGTACACTTTTGGCCGTGAACTAATAATTTTATAATTTATTATTCCTAAAATTCGTAGACGTGTACACATATTTAGGCCTCGGTAATTTTTAATTTTAATTAGAAATTGCAATTTTATCGTTATTACCCGAGTTTGACTATCCATACAAACGATAGCTGGAAAACCGAGATGAACAATATAGTTTCATGGCAGTTTATGATATTATTGCATCGTAAATATTTTTATAATTATTGAAATATCCCTGGGCAAATTATCGACGTTCCAACGTTACAGAGCCGAGGTAATTGAAGAATATCGATATTATCGACTATGGATGTAAATTGTTTATTAGAGTATTCCAATTGTTATAGTGCTAATAAACGGTAAGATAAAAAAGAAATGTTTAATCTCAACATGAATTTGAAATTGAATTATAATTAATAATCAATTAATAATTGCATGTAATCGGATAACAAAGTAATTACAATTAATGCAATTTAATGTAGATGCAACAATCGTTACAACTATATTTCAATATGCAAAATATGCAGAATTTATTCGAGCCAGTATGACAAAAGCAGCCAGGTCTGAATAAATTTTCGTGATAATATCATTTAAGCAGTCTCAGTAGATAACTGAAGAATCTTATTATCGACTACTGACATAAAGTTTTCGATTATCGATATAAATGTCTATTGTATAATGTACACACTTTATAATGTACAGTCATTTATAATTCATTATTCTTATATTTGAAACGTACGTGTGTATCAGTCTATTTAAAAAATATATTCATTGATTAAGAATTTCTCTCTTTCTCCTTCTTTCCTTTTCCTCTTTCTCCTCTCTCTTCAGATTAAAGTCGTAGTTAAAGTTTGACCCAACAGTTTGTACCAGAATTTGCTATTGACTCATGATCAATCACACGTTGGTACGTTTTGTGCGTGTATATAAATTTTGGCAGTCATAGCAATTTTTACAAGATTATCAGTTATTCTTACCCAGTCAGAAATGACTTGTCGATCGACGAGTCATTTCTGACTGGGTAATAATCATTTTGTTCGTGCAAATTAAGTTTGCTATGAAGAAATTTGCTAAAGCAAATGGTTCAATTGTTCAAATAACAAAATATCCAACTTAGACCACCGCGATTGAGACACCTTCATCGGGCATATACTTTTGTTAATTATTATAATTGCAATTCTATTTTTTGTAAAAGAAATAACGCAAAAGCTACCTATCTAATTATTCTTCTTATTCTTTTCCCTACGAACAATATACGAGCAAGATTAAACAAGAAGAAGGAAATACGGACATTTTTATAATCATATATTAATAAAGTTTTTATCTGAAAAGCATATATAAGGGCACACGAATGTTCGAAACGCATCTGGAAAGCTCATAAAGTCACGAATAGGTGTAGACAAAAGGAATATTGCTTCACGATTAGTTGCGGAGGGGAAAATGCGATCGGGTCAATTCCTGACGCCTCTGTCAGCCGACCTTCTGCAAGGTCCTCGAGAGAGTGAGCACGGGAGGACTTCGCGGTTGGAATGCGTGACTCGACGATTTTATAACCCGCTTTCAATTACCCTTCTTGGTGCTCCTGTTTCGTTCGCCTCGCGCCACTGCTGCGAAGGAGAAGGAGAGGAAAGAGGGAAATACCGCAACGCGAGCAAAAGGCATCGGAACGTCCAAACGCGTCGCAGCCGCGCGCGTTTGTATCCTTGCCTCCCCCTTTCTTGCCCGCCCACCCTTTTTCTCGCTCCGCACGGGGACGTGATTTATTCGTTGTCAGATGTACACGTACAATCGCACGCGCAGCCAAGAGGAATAAGGAGATCCGATAATGGTGTGCGTAGCTAGACAGGAAACGCGTCTTTCCCGAGGACATCCACCCCAACGAGCGGACAATTTGTTTTGGCTCGTTTGCTCGCTCCGCTAAATTCAGAACGATAAGATGTCTGTGAGACACTTAACTTGCTCACAAAGCGGCAGATTTCTTGCTCGCCAAAGTAAAATCACTTCTACTTTAATATGTTGTCACAACGTTAACGTTGACTGAATTTATATTCACTGTATTGTATATGTTAACGATTTTCTTATATAAATTAATTAATTAATTGTTTCCAACAGCATCTTAATATTTTCCTCATTTCATTTCTCCCTCATTCCAATTTGCATGATAAAAACAAAAATTATCTAGATAGAACAAATAATTTGAAACAAATGCCTCCTTCATACGTGGCTTCCTTGTTCTATTTTATAATAAAAAATATTTATTCGCGGAAAGTCTTCTATTATGAGATAGCGGAGTTTCTGCTGATTAATACACGTTATCTGTTGGTTCCACCATGAATTTATTGCAATGAAATCTGGTTAGTGGAAAATTGATTGTTAGATCGTAATTGTCGTGAAAAAAAGATTTGTGATTGAATTTGGACGTTGAAAACCTACCATCTCACGTTAGAATCCTATCTCGTAATAGAGGACATTTCTCTACTAATTATTTATGTAATATGAAAAGTAGTTCTTCTTGAAATTAAGTAGATCAATCGTCATTAAATAAGTACGATATGTTATTAAAATGTAAAAAAGATAATAAGTTTGTATCTCAGAGTATTTTATACGTTTCAATATAGAAATATTGACGCTACTTGATGTCTTTACAAAAACACTTTTATCCTTTTTCAGAAACCACGATGATACTGGTCCTGCTGGTACCTATAATCGGATTTGTGGCAGCAAATCCTCTTTCAAGCACATTGAACGACCGATTAGACCCTCAGGTCCAAAAGGCGCTTTCGCTGTCCACGGAGAATCGTTTGGACGCACCGGACGACGGACCGGGCAAATTAAATGAAACGGTAGAAAACACGAATGATACTTTGTCAACCCCGAAGTATACGGTCCATCATCTCGCGGCTTCCGGGTCGGAGACGCGTGGGAACGAGACAAATGAGAAAAGGGTGCAAGGGCGAAAGCATAAAGCTATATTTGTAAATTATCCCCTGATACCACCTATCTTGCATTACCCGAGGGTGCCCACTTACGAGGTCGATTACAACGACAACAACCCGGAGCTGGCGATGGAGGACAGGTCGTCGGGCGCGTCGAAGAGGTACCAAGAGAGCGACATCTTCTACATCCGACTGCCGCCCATCCCGTATATGTTTGTACCCGGTCTCGGATACATCTCGCAACCACCCACGTACCCGGGCGCTTCCCTGAAGCCCCAGATACCCCTCGTGCCACAACTAGTCCAGCTACATCAGCAGCTACACGTGAGACCTGTGCGACCTCAGCCGGTCTCTCAGCAGACCGTTAATCCCTTCATCAAATTGCCTATAGACTTCATAAGCAACGGCAAGCCCACCTCCGTCTATCAATGGCAGAAGAAGCCTGGCAAGAAGCCAACCGACAGTCCAATCACGAACCTGGACAACCTGTCAGCCGACTTCGTGAACAACGGTAAGCCGACCTCTATTTATCAGTGGCAGGCGAATCTCAAGCCGGTAAGGAGGCCGGAAGATTCGCTCAACAGCCTTGATATGGGACCCTATACCTTCAATGGCAAGCTGACCAGCATGTATCTGCTCGGGTCGGATGACTCTACCTCGATGCACCAGCCCATTCGACATTCCAATTACCAAAACGCGCACGACTAAATTCATCCGATTACGTCGAGAGTGGGGAAACAACCGCGAGTACACGGAAAGACCGGCTGAGGCAAAAATAACTAAAATTAAAATGTTGCCGTATAAATAGCAGGGGCATCTCTGCATTGTTTCGTGTTGCAACATTCACTAAGTTTGCTGCACAAAACGCATATAGTTGACTCCACTACTTATACCAATGTGGATGACAGCCACAGATATAGCTGTCCCAAAGATTACTATTTATTGGGGTTGTGCCAACCCTAATTAGATATGTGGTAACCGTATCGGTCTCTCCGTGTACAGAAGGGATTTGTAGTCTCTCCGAGGCGGGCGTAACGCGAGTGACAAGTATTTCGCGAGTGATGAGCACATTTAATATCAGTTAGTTTCGACCCTGGTAGAAGTAGCCAAGTGAATCTGACCGCGGTGGCGAGCAAACTTATGATACCAATATTATTCATGATAATAATAATAACATCGAGCAATGTTTCAGATCCATAGCTGACACGTTACATAATATTCATAATTAATAGATGTGAATTATGAATATTTATGTGACGTATCAGTTGTGGATTCGAAACTCTGATATTGTTATTAATATCGCCACATTATATTAATTTATTGAAACCGCAATTATTGAAATCTTGTTACTCGTGTACGGAAACGCTACAAAACACATGAAAAGTATGGCATTACAACATTAGAGATAATAACGTTATAAGTTTGTCAAATTGAACGTGGAGAAATTTGATTAATTTCTCCGAATGGAGAATCATTGAAAGCTACTTCGGAAATTAAATAAGAGCGGAAAAGGGAGGGCATCGAGAGTGCAACGCGGTTATCGGTGCATAAGTTATGGGTCTAATGTTCTTTAATTAGCAATAAGATACGTAATTATATGTCGAGCGTTTCGGCTCTATTTTGAGCCACGTGCAGCAACGCGGTAGCGAGTTGCTATTTGCCAAAATATTCTTCCAGATTGATTGGTCTGAAAAGCAATGTACTTCATGCGAGAGGATCCGAGCGAAATTTTGGCTAAAGATCATATTATATTAAAGAATATTAGACAGGTAACTTATACACACCGATAATCGCACTTTCAATGCTACCCTCTTCTGTTCGTTACTTGTTTAAATTTATTGTCAAGAGTCCTTAGTTAGTTAATTGTCTATTTATTTTAAAAATATTATTTCGCTCAAATCAATATCATATCGCATTGAATGGTTATTATTGATAATAACTTGTTAAACAGAATTATTTAAATAAAGATATCACACGACGCGATTATGTAAGTATACATTGTATAATAATACTTTCAATAATTGATGTCATGAACACTTTATAAAATGTGCAAGATGTAATTTAAAAGAATATTTATTATTTAATTTTTCACCTTATGAACTTTATTAATTTGTTAATTTTTAACGTTTCCACTACTTATATAAAAATATATATATGTTATATATATTAATAATATATTGTGTTTAAAAGAAGCGTGTAAAAGATTATATTATTTAAAGCTGTTGTTTTAGCTCCTGTATATTATCGAATATTTATATTTATTGGTCGACGCAATACTCGTGAGTTTGTAAATATGTGAAATAAATGTAAAAATGATTTTAAGAAGGAGGATACACGTATTATTTTCGACCCCGCCCGTGATATTACGGCAATGTGAAAAGCACATTTCCTACACTTCGTCTCTTACAGCACCAAATATTGACTTGGGACGTGGGTTTGGTCAGATTGTCTGGACTATATCCTGTCTGGTTGCAAACATGCGCAATTCATTCAGATTAGACGCGTAAGGGGATTCAATATTAAGATTATTTCGACGCAATCTGACTTTGCCACTCCATGTAAAAACATTATGCATATGTATGTGCGTATCGTACAATATATGTAAAAAGTATGAAATGTCTGAATGAATTTTATGATATAAATATGTATCAATATAGATTATTTCAATATTCTGATAATATTTGTTATATCATTTGTTACGCTGTTTCGATAAACGGTTTTAAATCATTCGACATTGAAAGATTATAAGATACTAGCGGTAATTTAGCTTCATCAAATTAAATTTACATAGATACTTGTAAAATATGGAAATACAAGTGTGTCGAGTCTTGTTAAAATAATTTATAAATAATTAGGGTAATCGCGTGAGATTATACCGTTTATCCCTTTCGTTTATATCACTGATATTTTTATCATGAAGATGTTCACGACAATATAATCGGCATGTTTTGCACGTGTTACACGTGAAACGGTAAACGGATGTAATGTGTAAGGACAATCTTCGTTGGTTGGATAAAAAAAATATTCTCCTTAGCATGTCGAATTTACACGGTCAATTACCGAAAAATGTGGTCCCAGAGGCGAGCGACTCGTCACCGGCGCGGCTCTTGCTTGCAGATATTAAAGTAAATGCGCTGTAACGGGTTGCGAGGGTTCTCATCCAGATACAAAGTGGTCGAGCAAGGTCATAAACACAGGTCTATAGATCCATTAGTTTATATGTTCCTTCGCGTCATCCTAGCGATTAAAAACTCATTCGCAGCTGCTCAATTTGAAAATTGTCGCAACAAAATTCAGCGAGAATGTATGTCCAAACACTGGTAAACTACGGGCGTTTAAGTCGTAAAGTTTCAAGCGACTTCTCACTGTTTGATAAGGATTTTATCTGTCGCTCTTATGCGCGAGCTATCTTCTATTTAATATTAATGTTTGAACGCGTAAAGAAATTATTTCTATTGGATGAAACTATGAAATTATTTCTATCGAATGAGTAATATCTGCATGGATATTAAACCATGAGGATGCCAAGAGGCACAAGTATCAATAACGCACATACATAAAATTTTTACAAACGTGTAAATACTGAAGATTCCGTTATTAATCTGGAATGCGTCTGTACGTAATTGCACGTCGGAAAGTTCCTATCTTTAATGAAGTTACGGAACAAATAAAAGGGCCGGTTTTTGCTAATGAGCGTAACGCAATTCGATAGTAACTTCATTAACCGAGCCTGATCATAGAGGTAGTTTGTTGGATCATTAGAATCAAAGTTAATATCGCAGCTCTTTACGAAGAAACAAATGGTTGTATCGTGGCGATCCAAGAAATTTCACGGAGAAGAAATCAAGGAGGAGACTTCAAAATGCGATTATATACAATTCATACAATATTGTTAGCGCGAATAAAAATGTTCTTGCAGTTTGAAAGCTTATATCTACATAATTGAAAAGAGCTCTTCATGATACGCACACAAAAGGGGACAAAAATCTTTCAAAATAACGGTGCCAAATATTCTCTTTAAGATCAACATCGCTAATGTTGGCTATGAGCACGTAAGAAATGCGGGATTTGTGAATTTTTAAGTACTTATCGAAGTAATGTGTACAAAGAGCTATAAATATCTTTATTCATTATACTGGATGCCTCATTATAATCGAGCGCACTTACGATATCTAGAATAAAAATATATTTAACGTAAAAAAGATTCCCACGTTAATGTGCGCAGGAGGAAAGATTTACATGTATGAGAACATGCGTATTGTCCAGTCTTAATGAAAAATCTACCTATAATTATATGGAAACGTTTTGCATTGATCGAGTATTTGACATACTAGATCGCGGATCGATCATGTTTACGTGATTACACACGCACGAGGAGCGCGTGTGTAGAGATGCGATAGTGTGTCCGCATGTTTATTACATTTATAAAAATATATTATACAACGTTAATTCAATAATGGAAAATTTGATTGTATGGAATCATAGACGATCTCAGTCTTTCGGTGGGAAGAAACAGTTTGGCATAAGCCGAAAAAAGTCTTACGTTTGATTAGATTTGTTAAAAGAGAAAGAGAAGCCCCAATGCGTGTAAGTTTAAGCTCGAGCTAAGGAGATGTTAGCGTATTCCGTAGAAAATCGACGTCACGTAAAATCCTTATATTAATCTCAGTAAAAATATATAGCATTTTCTGTGCTTTTCTTTAAATCTTGCATAAATAAAAAAGCAGACGAAGAGATAAAGAGAAGCGTACGTTATATATATATATATATTATGTAATTTCAATGTCACATAGTAATAGTTTAATCAATACTTATATCTCATGTGTAAATAGGGTGAATAGCCATCCAATGCAGGATAGACATGGAACATTCAGTCGTAATCTCAATAATACTATCGCGCTTTAAGCCAGCAATGCCCAAAGTTTCCGCAAACGCACGAGCAAAGCAACAAATTCGTTTTATTCTCGAGTGAATACTTTCTCAAGTATTCACTCATAAGTTTTATATACCTTTTTCTACGATAAAATCAATTGACACAGCACACATTTCTAGAAACATGTCAGACTTTCGAAGACTTCGATCACCTCGCTAGTAAAAATATGATTGCTTTATTCTAATTGCTCCTTGCACTTTCCTAATTGCAACAAGATTTATCTTGTATTTAATTCATGTTCAGAATGCTGACGGGAACTAATTAGTTTTCTTCATTACGCGATGTAGATATATGTCGATATTTTAGTCGAGAGTGACGGGGCAACTCCCGCAAAACTCGCATTGCTGAGAAAAGCGTTTGACAGATAAAAATCTTTTCTGGTGGTGCTTCAGTCTTATTTTAAAACTGTTTGACACATACTTTTTCGATAGGTTCATTTTAGTAAAGTCGTCTTTTAAATGACATATTTAAAAAAATGTCTTTTAAAATAACACATTCTTAGAGAGAAACAAACGCGTGGATGTCATTTTGCGGAAATTTTTGGTGTTGCCTACATGGATACTGATTACTGTATTATATTAGTAGGTATAACGCTTTTGTGAAAATATGATATGCTCAAGTTCCTTATCCGCTTGTTAGTTAATAAAATACCAGTTCAGTTATTGCAGCAATGCAATTGTTAACGTCGTCCGTGATCTCGCAGTCCGTGGTGCGGACCGCCCAAATGTGATATCGTTAAAATATGCGAGAGAATGGGTTAGCTGTTACCGATAAAACTTGTACTTGCATTCCTAACATTTACTTATCTCGTTACGTCTTTCGTAAGTAAAGTTAATAACGATGCATATTTAACAGAAGTGGAACGGTTTGCAGGATGCATTGTCTCGAATAAGAGTGACTATAGGCATGAAAGTCTCCGTTTCTCTCTTTTTCTTCCTCCCTCGTTCCTTCTCCTTTTTCGCATCTTATCGTTGTCAACTCGAACGGCGATCTCTGATCCTGTACAAACAGAGTAGTACGCATCTACTTAAGCTAACAGGCTCGCGAGTCACTTAAGATATTACACGAGTATGCACAAGTACACGAAACAATCGAGGATTAAGGTAGAAGGGGATGATAGTAGACCGGCTTGCGGCTCTTCTCCATGATGTAGAAAGCCTTGGGCTTGCCGTTTCCGGGGAAGTTCTTGTGGATGTTGGTGGTGCCCGACTTGGTGGCGATTGGCGCGTAATACGACATGGCAGCCTTTTTCCGGTGCTTCTTCATCTTCGGCACGGTGTTCCTCGAGCCGTGAAGTTCGTTGGTCAGGTGCACCCTGTGCACATTCATATCGTCTAGTCTATACGCCTTGTTGTCGTTCTTCTTCGTCTTGAATTTAACATTGTCGTTGTCGTTGCTCGGATAGCTCAGCCTCTTGTCGTTATTTCTCACGTGTTTCGTCACCGGCGGCTTTTGGTGCGAATGGAGTTTGTTATCAGCGGCGTGGTACTCGTGGCTCTTGCTGGCTGTGTCGAGCTGATAAAGCTTATCCAGCATGGTTTTTGTAGACAGCGTCTGCTGCGGTTTCTTCACGTCCTCCAGCCTCTTTCTAGCCTGGTCGATCCTCAGTTGACTCAGCTGAAGGCGCTTCTTCTCCGTCATTTTCTTTACGACCGGTAAATTCCAATGATAAATCTTGGCAGGTTTGCCATTTCCTTGGAATCCTACCGGAAAACTCGGTCCGGTCTTGGTCACTTTGTCGTCGTTGACGGATTTGTGGGGCTTCGTGATGGTGTAGTATGGAGGACTAGCCGGAAGCTTCACGATGTAAACGTGGCTGTCGCGGTGTCCGTGACGACGGCTGTAAGCCTGATGTATGCGCGTTTGCGAGCTGAGTCCCGGCGGTTCAGGGCCGGCTAATCGCTTCTTATGATGCCCATCGGGTATTTGAAGAGGCGTCAGTCCGAGGCGGTTTAGGACAGCCGCGTTGCTTGTATGAACCGTCTCGAAACTCTCCTCGGAAGTGGTCGCAGCGGCGTGACTACTGAGGAACATCAGCAGTGAGCCACTTAGAAGAAATAATCTAAAACAAAAATCATATATCATCATTAGACGTATATATATCTTTCATGTTGATGCACCGAGGTGAATTTAATAACGAATAGTAATGGATTAAGCCAAAAAAAAAAGAACAGCTGATGTGTATAAAATATAAGAATAATTGTAGCCACGACAATTATTCTTTTGCCGCGTGCAATTGATTCAAAAGAACTATATAAACGAGATTCCAACGACGTTGCAAATACACGTAGCCCGCGCGAGATCCAGATGAAAAAGAGGTAGGGCTACGCCGGCTCAAGGAACGATTCATCACGACTGCCACGTCGCGCGAAACCAACGAAAGAAATCGCCTAACCGCAAGCGGTTGGTGCCACGAGGAATTCGAAGGGTGGACCGTGGACCTCTCGGCCATCTGGCCGCTCGTAAACCTGGTTGCGCGCGGAAAAAAATTTTAATGAGGAGGAATTTCAGGGCGAGAGCGTGAAAGTGATGACTCTCTGCCAACAAGGCGTCTGGAGATTTTACGAGGTGAGAAACCGACAATGCAAAAACATCATGACGATGAATACTCGTCAATTTGCTCTGCTGTTGAAGAACCGCACGTCGCTGGTGAACCGTGCGATGAATTACCCTTCCCACTTAATTACTCGTTACAAGGATGAAGTATGTTAATTATTCTCTCGTATACCTTTGTGATAGGAGCGTTGCGCACGCCCATGAAGAAAACACCGTTTCAGTAGCTCTTCATCTATGAATCACATTGCTAATTCGAAGAAAGGATCGTCTCTTACGGCTCGACAATAAAATATGTATAAATTTATCAACGAGATATTTTTCCAGACTGATTGTGAGAGAGAAGACGCTGGAAAATAAATTTGTAGCATGTATAAAACATAAGCAAGTGATTATACAGAATTGCGAAGGGCAATTCTCCGCCGAGAAAAGTAATGAAATATTCAGTGACTCGAGTGACTATGTTTGGCAAGCCAATGTTCATCGGTCTTGGAAGTTGGAACGTCCGTCATGCAATAGCCATAAATTAATATGCCAGCCGGACGACTCCCTCGTTGTGAAATTATTCCTCCATCCAGCAAGGTACTTGACGTGGTCATTCACAACGACATGACGCTCGTGCTGCATCTAAAGGAGTGACTGGAGGAGAAAAGGTGAAATACGACGGAGGTGGAAAAAGGGAGGACGAAGACGGGAAAGAAGATTGCGTTGCTTGTGCGAAAGATGATCGAATGTTTTTCTATAACTCATTAATTAGGAGCAATTAATAAGTGACGTTTAATATCACATGTATTATATATAAATAGTATTTCGGTTATATATTAATTATTCTTGCCATTGTGACTTATCAGTAGAATATGATAAAAGTTTTAAAACATTTTAAGTAAACGAAGGGAAAATTAACAATATTTATAATCGTGTTATCGCTGTGTCACACTTAATGCATATGAATAACTGATTGCTCTATGCGGTATTAAATAAATGGATTGTCTGCGTCTCGATGTGAAGGTACACTGTCCTGTCGAGATTTGGTAGCGTAAATTATAATGTCAACGCTTTTAACTTTATTCAACACTAGCTTAAAGTACCCGGCGCTGTCCGGAGTTTTATCACGAGGTATCAAGGGGATAAAGAAGAGAGAAATGGAGTGTCTAGGTGTCTAGGTTTCATGGTAGCCCATATTTTCTGCGTAGAGAGTAACTAGGCACAACTTGGTCCGGAGCGATTGAAGGATTTAGCAGACATATAAGACATATAGACAGACGTTCTATTTTATATATGTATACCTTAATACTTGTATACTTTAAAATACAAGTAATATTTAACTTGTGCCAACTTTAAAATCAATTACTTTTCGAGTTACCAGTTGTTCCGATAATACGAGTGTAATAATAGCGTGAGCTGAATAAAGTAGAATCTTTTTCCTATATTTCTTCAATGATTCTATTCGCGATTCCGCGTTCGAGTATAGAAAAGCACTTGGACATTCGAGGAAAACAATGATGCTGCTTCGCGGGAAAGAGCGCGCGCGCGCGAGCGCGCCCTGCGGCTCGAAAGAACGCGGAAGAGGATTCGATGCTCGAAGAAGAGAGTTCAGATTAGTCTGACGAGGGAAGAGCTCGAGGAGTGTGAAGAAGAAGAATAAGAGGAGCGGAAAGTAACCGCGGAGTGCGAGCACGTGCACGCGCATACAGGTATGCGTGAGAAAAGCTCACAGTCGGAAATCTAAACGTATCGGCGGTGCGACGGGGAGGCAACGCCTGGCCGGAATGACGAATGGAAAGGGATACCAGCGTTGGCATCTCGCGCCGATCGGAGATTAATCTTCATGATCATCTCCGTTCGACCGGAGAGCGGCGGCAGCGCGCGGACTGCCCGTTTTACCTCTCAACTTAACTCGACCCAATGATCAATGGATATCAAATGGTTCGAGTCCCTTTCAAGAGTCATCGACTGCCCTAACTGCGCTAATTTTCGCCGGCCTCGCGTCTCGTACATGGGAAGCATGTTAATCTCGTACGAGCGTACGCGAGAGGCACTTCAAATATTTATCAAGAGGCCCAAGTCCGCGGTCTGCGACCCTTCCTGCGAGGTGTGAAAAGCGTCTTTCGAAAGAAGTCGCTTCAACGATCACGCGTCTGTGGATTATCACATTTCGCGTACTCGCGCTATGTAATGGATAAGCCCCTGGACTCACTGTACACCCTCCATATCGGATTCATGCGAATATCACACGTGCTACGTGAATACAATATCCGTGCTTGTATAAATTATTTATAAGATAACGCTTTCCGCAGGAAATGTACGAGACTATCGTTGGATTAATATAAAGCGATTCTTATCTCTGTACTCGAGATGAATCTTCCACGTACATCGCGTATCTCGCGTAGATTGCAAGCGCATGGAACAAGTGCGTGTTAAGCGACAGTGATGTGTGGCGTATCGAGAAATCTAATTCATTGGGATGTGAGCAGAGCCATTCATTGATTAACTTATATCGCGATTACATTCATAAAACCGCGAACGCGGAATGCAGTACGCGTTCGCAGAGCACCCTTGCCGATCCGCGTTGGACCTGGGGAGTAAGAAACAATTATAGGATGATATTACCCGTAAATTTCAATGCGTGGAATCTCGATGCCCGGGCTTTGACTCGAACTGCATTCATCATTTTGCAATTAAGTTCTTCCTTTATATCTGAGATAGATCTTGCCATTCATCCTGTATGGAACCTGACGAAATCTATTCGCTTTCAGATCCAAGACAAAGAAAGTTGATGGAGTTTCTGGACTTTAATTTCACGCGATGGTGCTTTTCAGATTGCGCTTTACGCTGCCTTGTAATTTGCAATGTACCATGTACGATTACAAAACTTAACGTATATATTTAGCGTTCTGTTCTACAAGTTGAAATAGATTTCAAATAATTGAGATATAAACACGTCGCATTTTTGTATCCTGTTTGAAACACCGTTACTTCGCTCGACAGTTTAACTTATTATGACGCAACATGAGGGGTTCTCAATTATCCAATTATCCTCCGGGCTAAATTGTTCGGCCTTTTGGCGTACGTTATGCGAAGAAAACTTTTTGGATGAACATAATATCCCACGTAATATTCTTCAAAACTGCACACGCAAACTCAATTATGTCAATTATCAGCATATTGGTGCATGCTGCAAATTACTTCTCGGTTTTCTTAGCCTGCTTTAATTATAATTTCCTTGCAAATAGTTTGAGAACTTAATCATTTGTAATTGATTATTTCCGCAAATTTGCAGCACACGCGAAAATCAAATTATTAAATTACATTACGCACTCGTGCAAGTAAAATTATAAATGCTGCAATAGAAAATGTCTAACCGATCTTTCTTAAAAGGTGTAATTATCTCTGTAAACGTACGTTCCTCAGATTATAATCCGAGGCGACGTTTTTCGTTCGTGGCAGCTATTTGTCAAACGAAGGTACGTGTAAAACTCGGTGTTCCCGCAACCGGTAGTTGAGCATTGTCTTTCCCAGAATCCGAAATGGTATTCAAAATGTAAGCAGCAAACCGGTTGATAACCGGTTCGGTCGCTCTAACGAATTTGGAAGAATTTCCATGCATTTTCTATATAAAGCGTTCTCGTTTAACTTACCACTTTTAAATATTGAAAAAGAAATAATTGGTCAGTGTGAAAGGCGCTGATCGTCATAGATTATAGCAAAATTAGATTATTTCTTATTTGCTCACCGGAGCTAAACCGATGTCCGCAGAGATTCACGTGCATTTTCCCGCAGATCCATCCGCGATCGAACAAAGTTTTGACAAAAACGAAATACTTTTTTTCATAACACGGAGAATGCCGTCAGGTATCCCTTTCGATCTCGCGCGAGATCGAAGCGACGAGAAATACAATATTTGTTATTACTACAAGTGCCGCGATCGGTCCGGCAGTTCTGCATTACTGGCTGGCGAGTTCAACCGCGTATAAAAAAAAAGAAGTAAAAATCGGGTAGAAAGGAATGAATTCGCGGCAATGGTGGCCGCCGGAGCGACACCATCGATTCCGCGCCGTGTCAACCTTATATAGCACTGGCATTCCCTTACGGCTCATTAAATTCACAAGGCACTGCCAAGGTACGACGTTGGCAGAGCAGACAGACGTGGAGGAGAAAAAAAAAGAGGCTAGCACGAAAGCCGCGGAAAGAGGTGGATGGCCACATGCCCAGGCAGGCATGTCCTTAAGTTCCAGGCGGATCTTGAATGGAGGGAGCGCGGAAGTAACGAGCGACATACTTCTTGCCGTTTGCACCGAGGGTAATGACAGGGGCGAGGGGAACGTCCAGTAGACGTATTAGCGTGAATGACTCTCGTTAGGAAGAGCCGTAATAACTTTACTTCCCATATAATCAAAGACCCGCTTTGATCCTCGCAATCAACACGCGCTGTGCTTTATCATTCTGGAATTAAGTTTAACCATTAAAGTCGCGCGGGGTACGCATTATTAATTAATCCGGGAGATCGAT